AAAAAAAATTTTTCAGGGGAAAAAAACGAAATCTGCCCTCAGGCATTAATGCCAACCAGAAAACAGACAATTCTCAGATTAGACCATTCCTCTCCCTCTAATATGAAAAATTCCTCTTCCCTTCAAGCTGCTGACCCAGAGCATCTCTGAAGATGGCATGCTTGAGCTCTGGGATGAATTGCCACAACAGGCTACACAGATGGAGAGTCTCTGCTGAAATGAGGTGAGGGGGTACATGCAGGGACGAAAGGAGAGGATCCTGGAAAGGGTCATGGGAACAGGAAGAAACTGACCAGGTGCTCACTTCTGACACTTCGCAAATAATGTGGGTTCTAAAGTGGTCTCCAGAGATGAAAATGTCAGCGATTCCAGCATTGCACTTCAAAATGAGGGTGTCATGACAACTATATAAATACGTATATAAAGTGTTTGGTAATACATGCAGTTGTGCCTGTATCTTCGGGGTCTATAAGGAATTAACCAAGGAGTGGATGTTGGGGGATGCCTGCTTCTGCCAGGACACCTGAGATGGCCTCAAGGTGGCCCTAGTGAAAGTGAGAAGTCACTAGAATGGAAGCGCCAGGGAGGCAGGCATTTCTGTTTGGTTCACTGTCCTATCCCAGTGCTCAGAATAAAGCCTAATGCCCAATGAGTCTTTAACAAATGTTTCCTGAATGCATCAAGGAATGAAGGAATGAATGAAAAGTAGCCATGACCAAACTGTAAGTCTGGAATTAAAGCTCAGTTTTCTGAGTAGTTTCGAAACCGTCTATAAGGAATTAACCAAGGAGTGGATGTTGGGGGATGCCTGCTTCTGCCAGGACACCTGAGATGGCCTCAAGGTGGCCCTAGTGAAAGTGAGAAGTCACTAGAATGGAAGCGCCAGGGAGGCAGGCATTTCTGTTTGGTTCACTGTCCTATCCCAGTGCTCAGAAAATGCCTCTTGCCCAATGAGCCCTCAATAAATGTTTGCTGCATGCATCAACCAATGAATGAATGAATGAAAAGTAGTCATGACCAAAGTATAAATTTAGAAGTAAAGCTCAGTTTTCTGAGTCATTTAAAAACTTCCAATTTGGGTTCTGAGCTCTGCCTTTTCCTACCCAGCAGCCTCAGGTTCCCTCTTAGTGAACACCCAGCATGAAGGGTTCCTACACCCTTCCCAGAAAAAGAATGGCAAGTGGTCATTTCCCTTTCTCACCCCCAAAATTCGCTTTAGAGACACTTCCGAAGCTTGCGCTAGTTTCGAAACCTCCAATTTGGGTTCTGAGCTCTGCCGTTCTACCCAGCAGCCTCAGGTTCCCTCTTAGTGAACACCCAGCATGAGGGGTTCCTGCACCCTTCCCAGAAAGAGAATGGCAAGTGGTCATCTCCCTTCCTTACCCCCCAAATTTGCTTTAGAGACACTTCCAAGGATTCCGCCCTCTATTGCCACCGCCCTCTTGCTTAACCACTTTCTGCTCCATCCCAGTCCATCCCTCCATATTCCTGACCCTTCCTGGCCCTTCAAACCCACAGAAACTATGACCTGTCCCTAAGGCCATGGTGGCAAAGGGAGGGGTACTCTGCCCTGCTCAGCAGATGAGTACCAGGAGGACGCTCCCCAACCCAGCAAACACACACTCACCTCTACGAAGGAGGGAACGTACTTTGCTCCCTAGTGAGAAATCAAATTAACACCTAAAAGTTAATCTCTGAAAACTCTCAGTCTGTCTACCTTCTGCCCTCTACCCCCCGACCCCTCTTTTCCATCCACAACTGCCCTTTGCCCAGGGAACCAGAGCCCAGTGGCTCAGATGAGGACAGCAAAGGTAATCACGTGGGGTTTCAGCTGGAAAAAAGGGGCCTTGTGGAGGGATCACAACCCACTTGACAGGCTCCTGTCCACTGAAGGACTGCGGCTGACCTATGCCTGCTGTTGGAGAAAGGAACAGAAGTGGACACTCTACAGCTTAGTCTCTGCTCCCCAACACACACTCCTACGCCAGGACTCAAAGGAGACAGGATCTCCCTGTGGACAGGGGCCTGTGTGGGTCACAGCAGTGAGATGAGGAGGTGGTAGAGGACCCTGGCTGGGAAAAGTTTCCCTGTGGGATTGTCGGGGCTGAGTCCCAGCAGGTGTTTATGGGTCAAAGAGGGTCAAGATACCCCTAAGTTCATAGCAGTACAGTTTACAATAGCTAGGATTAGGAAATAGCGTAAGTGTCCATCAGCAGATGAGTGGATTAAAAACTGGGGTACAGCTGCACAATGGAATGCTATGCTGCTATAAAAAAGAAGAAACTCTTACCATTTGCAACAGCAAGAATGGACCTGGAGAGTATTATGCTAAGTGAAATATGCCAGTCAGAGATATAGTTGGACATTTAGATTGTTTCTCATTGTTTTATTATAAGTAGCATTTTGATAAACTCCACTGTCCACAGGCCTTCTCTGTATTTATGGTTATTTCCTTATCATTTGCAACAGTATGGGTGGACCTGGAAAGCATTATGCTAAGCAAAATAAGCCAGTTGGAAAAAGTGAAATATCACGTGATCTCACTCATTTGTGGAATACAATGAACGACATACACTGATGAACAATAGAGCCAGAGACATAGAAGCATCAAACAGACTATACAACCTGAGAGGGAAGGCAGGGGAGGGTGGGGGGTAAGAGATCAACCAAAGGACTTATATGCATGTATATAAATATAACGAATAGACACAGGCAGTAGGGGAGTGAGGGCATGTGCTGAGAGGTAGGAATAGCCAGGGAGAGGTTAATGGAAGAAAAAGGAGACATATGTAATTCTTTAAACAATAAAGAATTTAAATTTAAAAAGGGGATGGCAAGGTCTAAGCATTATGGCCAACTCACCTTCTATAATGGTTTTCTGATCATCATCATCAGCAGCAGCAGCAGCATTATCATCACCTGTGATGTGAAGAATGCCCAGGTGGGAAGAAGCTGGGTCAGCAGAGCAGGGTATCCCTGCTGGAGCCCATCACATGCCCACACCTCAGCCCCCACACTTCCTCTTCTGGGCCAGGTGTGCCAGCTTTGCTCAGGGTGCCCTGGCGACCAATTCATCAGAATCACCTAGGACTCCTGTGGAAACTCAGAGTCCCTGGCCTCACTCCATACCTTCTGCACCAGGCTCTCTAAAAATGAAGCTAGAACCTGCGGTTTCCATAGGCACCTGGGTGACGGTTATCCACTCTAGTCTCACACTGGAGAACTGCCTTGTCCATGGAAATGAAATCACCTTCTTCACCCTTTGTCTTCCTCTCCCAGACATATCTCTTCCTTACAAATCTAGGCCCTTTCTGCCCTACTCCTGGGTGGTCTCACATTTCACATAGAGAAATGTTCAAAGTTCTAGAATTCCTACCAATCATGTTTACTAGGTGATTGACAAGGGCCAGAGCAGAGGGAAAGCAGTCCCATTTTAGAGACCCAGGACCGTGGTGATGCAGCATACACGGAGAAGAGAGTCCAAGGCGGGAATAATCAAGTGTGTGGTTGTTGATGATGACATGAGGACATTCCCAGTAGGACACACTGCAGTGGGGCGAGGCATGGACAGCAGGTAGGGAGTGAGCAGGGTGCAGAAGATTCTTTAAGGAAGTTGGCAGTGAGGGGACACGGGGTGGGAAGAGGGGACACGGGTGAGTCAGGGGTTATGAGATGGCAGAGACCTGACCTTGTGGTCAGGTCAGGGGAAGGGTCCACGTGAACTGGAGAGAGGGAAGATAGATTTGGCTCAGCCACCTCATCAGACATTTATCTCCATCAGCTCTGGAGCTAAGATCTCACTTCCATTTCATAGATAACATGGAGGACAGAGGAATTCTTATTTTCTCCAATGCCACAAAGCGAGCAACTTATTGAACTGTTCTTTGAATTAGTTTGCCCTATGAGGTGTTAGGAGGATGAAATTAATTCATGGAAGTGCAATGCTCACTGCACTGAGCCATTCTTTGTAAAAATTTCTTCTAGTCACCCTTAGACCTGAACTATAGAAATAGGCAAGCCCCACTCGCCCCCTAGTGGGCAGGAAATGACTTGCAGACACTGCTCTTAGGTTTAGCCTTTGGTATCTAACTCCATTTAGTTCACACTTGTCAACACTTTCAAAACATAGTTTTGAAGTTTGAGTTCAGCCACCTACCCCACAAAATTGAAGAGCTCATACTCATTCCATCTCCAGCCAGTGATAGGAGGTCTCTGACAACAGGACACACCATT